TCAGGCCCGGCGGTACCGCAAGGCAAGTCAGGCGGCCGCCTGAGGGCGCTGCAGGGTGAGGGCGGATCCTGACATGCGCGGCCCCTCAGGCAGTCACCGGCCAGCTAAATTAGGACCCCACCTGGAGCTCCTCCCACTCGACCAGCGCTGACTCGCCGCTGCTCTCCCGGGCCAAAGGTAAGTGGAAAAAAAAAACCATAGCGCAAACATCGGGGCATTTTGACAAGTACAAGTACTTGTCAAAATGCCCTGTTTTTAAAGGGGGTGGGGGGGCGCAAAAATGCACCTTGCCTGTGTAGGCAAGAATCCTAGCACCGGCCCTGCAGGTACCCACCTAGGTAAGCTCTGAGCTGGAGCTTACAGAGGATGGAATCCTGCAGTGAAAGGCTGGAAAAGAGCATGATGTGTAGGTCTAACTTTCTGAGGGCTTGGACTATTAAAAGGCCCTGAATGGCCCGGCAAGAGTGTCTCTTTTAACACCACCCCCAAGGCACTTATTATTATTATTATTATGCAGCTTGCGCGGCGCTTTACAAAATGGGGGAGACAGTACAGTTACAATACAATTTCAGTAAAATAGGGTTAGGAGGGCCCTGCTCATGAGATCTTACAATCTAGTAGAAGGGGGAAAGGGATACAGAAGATAATAATTGTTTAGATTGAGTTAGTGGAATGGAAGAAGTAAAAGGGCTGTTATGTTAAGGTGGGATTCTACTTATACCCTTCCATGGGTTCCTCCGCCATTGGAACCTTCGCAATGTGAGTTCCTCCAGTGGTACAGTGGTTGGGTCTAGTGGCCAGTGACCAGGCCCAAACACAACTAGGAGAGGAGGGAGACAAGTCATCAACCCTGAGTAAGCTTTGAGAACATCTCCCCCTGGAGCTTTGACTCCCCCTTGTGCTGTGCTTAGGCCTAAGTGGCCAGTCGTCTGGCCTGAACATTGCTACATGGGGGGCAGTGATGGTCACTTGCCCATCTGGGTAGGCTCTGACACTGGAGGCATACGCAGGATGGATTCCTTCAGTGAAAGGCTGTGGCAGAGCATGATGGGTGAGTTTACCTTTCTGTGGGGGAAGAGGGGGAGTTGGGCTGTCAAAAGGCCCTGAATTGCTAAGCAAGAGTGTCTCTTTTAACACCATCCCTAAGCCACTTATACCCTTCCTTGGGTTCCTCCGCCATTAGAACCTTAGCTATGTGACTTACTCCAGTGGTAAAATGGTTAAGTCTATCGGCCAGTGGTCAGGCCCAAACATAACCACATGAGGAGGAAAACAAGTCATCAACCCTGGCAGAGGGGCCGCCACAGCATCCCAGGTTGCTAAAAGCTCTTAGCAACATGTGGTACTTTGTGCTGGCTTTCCACCCAGCTCACTGATGTCACCGGTTGCCAGGAGCCAAGCAGGGGCACTGTAGCTTACGACCGGCCTAGCTCTTAGCGACCAGTGACTTCAGTGAGCTGGATGAGATGTGGACAGAGCCACTGACCGCACAGTCCGGTGTACGCCACTGGTCCCCCCCCCCTTTTCCTCAGTGACCATTCCCAGACAGCACTAGTCCACCCAACTCAAATCCCCCCTCCCCCTGGCATCGTTTCAGGCGGCAATTAACCTAGTTACGGCCCTGTTTATATGTATATCACCTGCTTGGTAGAACATTTTTAGCTCTGTTTCACTTCTGCGGGTGGTCTGTTGGCCTGTCTACGTTGTATATGAAATAACAGAAGTATGATTCGGGGTGGGACATCGATGTGGTTTTCGCCTATTAGGAATAAAAGGCGCGCTTTGTTCCGATCTTAGAAAGTAGGAGTTTTCAGCGTGTGTCGGTGATAGTAGAATGTGCAGGCAAGGCATGCTGGGAGGCGTTCTGTCTCTAAGCTTTAATGGGTCTTGCCAACGTTGCTCATAATAGCTTTCTAGGTTTATTAATCCTCACGGTCTACGTACATCGTTTCTAAAAATAATTGTCAAGGTTGGCGAATGCGTCTTGTTGGATTTCTCAGCCCTGGTTCATTTTGAAAGTAGGTTATGGAGAGGATGAGCCTGATAGCAAACGTGTAATTATTTCCTCGATGTACTTTTTGTCTTCCACAATGTTCTTCAGGGAACTTCCTGCCCCCCTCTTTATAATGACCCGATAGATCATGAGTTGTCTTCAGGGAGTGCGGTCTATTTCAGGTGAGGAATGGGACAGACCTATTTTTTTCTTGGTTTACAAAATCAGCGATCTATTTTGCCCATCAAGTGTACCAGTCGCCCACACAAAGTGGAGGAGGTTATAACTGTGCAGAGCTGATATTTATGGTCCTACAGCCCACCGATCTGCTCAGAGTGATGAGCGTAGATGAGGCACTTCTTTGTTAAAGGCGTACTCCAGTCACTCCACCCAATGAAAGTGAGCCTGAAATTAGTGCATAGGGCAGGGGTGGTCAAATTGATATGGAATTTAGGAGCCATTCTATCCAATCCAATTTTTTTACGAGCCAACTCCATTGACAACAACTAGAGAAAACCTCAATGGTTAGTCCCCAGCTGTAACTTTTAAGGGGTATTGGCAACCTGGCTTTCCAGCCCTGGCATAGGAGGCAAAGCATGTTCTACCCTCACAGATCTATGTGCTGCTGGAGGCCACCAGAAGTTCCTCCAGACGTCCCACCAGAAGTTCCTCCAGACGTCCCACCAAAAGTTCCTCCAGACGTCCCTCCAGACGTCCCACCAGAAGTCCCTCCAGACGTCCCACCAGACGTCCCTCCAGACGTCCCACCAGATGTCCCTCCAGACGTCCCACCAGAAGTTCCTTCAGACGTCCCACCAGAAGTCTCTCCAGAAGTTCCTCCAGAGAGCAACCTTGGAAGCCGGTGCATCATCTGTCAGCCAGCCATAACTGAACGCAGGTTGTCGGGCCAGACAGCCGCAGAGCAAGGGCCAGTATGGCCCGCTGGCTGTAAAATGCTCATGTCTGGTTTAAATACACTGTAACTGTGACACACTGCATGCGAAGCTGCGAGGCGCGGAGCTGAGTGCAGCCAGAGGAAAGACTTCCTCTTCAGCCAATCAGCTCATGCGTAACAACTCAATGGACTTCGCATCTTGACTTGTGGGTTTATACATGCAAGCCGATTGGCTGAAAATGAAATTTTTCATCTCAGCTATGCCAGCTCTTGAATGCTGATGTGCCAGATCGAAAATTTTAAGACACACTGCAGGCGAAGGTCTGCGCGCCGCCGCTTCCCTTTGCTGCGCGCCCCTTCGCATGCAGTGTGTCACAGGCTTAACTGTCAAAGGCCAGGGGGAAGTTTTGTAACTCCGTTGTCATTTCCAGGATGTCTGCATGCAGCTTACCAGCAGCCTCTAAGCTTCCACATTATATATTTTATTCAGTCCTGATGTTTAATTCAACACAGAATCTGTCTGGTACTGTGAATACATTTCACTCCAACTTACAAACAAATCAAAATTCTGTAATTGGAGGATCGTTAAGAGACATGAAATTTGGGGCAATTAAGACGAGTCATTTGCAAGAACAGTCAGTCAAGGGTACATGTAAATCTGAGGCACATTTAAAGAAAGAGCCTTGGGCCGTGCAAGCTTTTTGTGCGTCTTTGTCATGCGCTGCGAGGTGCTATCGGAAGAAAATGACGCGTGATCCTCTTAGGCGAAACAGCTGTGAGATTTCAGGGACGGCTGTACAGAGTTGGTCTGTATGTCGGGGGTTAACATGCGAATGCAGCCTTTTATTTTTCTTGTTTGTGTATTTTTTTATTCTCTTGTCCCATTTCAGTCCATTTTCCCCAATAACCAAATCCTATATTTATGTATTCAGATCAGGGGTGGGCAACTCCGGCCCTGCAGCTGTGCTTTAACTACAGATCCCAACATGCCTTTGCCTATGGGAATGATGCCAGTATTTGTCAGTCTTGCAGTGCATCGTGGGACTTGTAGTTCTACAACAGCTGGAGGACCGGAGTTGCCCACTCCGGGATTCAGATGTATAAAAATAGAAGCACATCAGGGTAACAGTGGGTCAGTTTTGGGACAGGAAGTGCTGTGATTAGTCCCTATGAGATATTTTGGTGCTCTTTATTAAAGCTAAACTCTAGGTCAGGGGTGGGCAACTCCGGCCCTCCAGCTGTTGTGGGACTACAAGCCCCAGAGCTGATTGAAGTGTGCCATATTTGCAACTGGTCTTGTAGTTCATGACATTTATATCCCGTTTTTTGTCTTTCTCTACAGGTCGGTCTCATGGGGTACAAGTCACTATGCCTGATCACAAGAAGGCAGTCATGCTCTTCCAGCCTACCTTACTGCGGTGCCATTACTCCACGACCTCTTCCCAGCCAGTCCTGGTGCAGTGGAAATATAAGTCGTTTTGCCAGGACCGTACGGAGGAGGCATTGGGCATCAGCAAAACCCCCAGCAAGGCCTACATGGGAGGGAACCAGTACCTAGACTGTGCCGACGGCAGCAGGACAGTGCGTCCCGTGGCTTCCAAACTGGGGACGTCTGTGACCATGGGAGACTTCTACAAGGGGAGAGACATCTCCATCGTTAACGGTAATGTAGTTTAATTCATAAATATCGTCTTGAAAGGGAAAGTATGTTTTCAGCAAGCACAATTTTGACATTATTTTCATTAGGTTCAGCCACAAGTTTGCATTTAATTTACAGGTAAGATTTCTATATGTGTCTGTATCCCTAGATGTTTTTCTTCACTTCCTGTCTCTCTGACACTAGAACATCAAATGGGGTGGGTGCGGTTTTTCCTTCACTTCCTGTCTCTCTGACACTAGAACATCAAATGGGGTGGGTGCGGTTGTCACCCAGACAGAAAGGCACAGCAGCAATAAAGACATTGTCAGAAGATCTACTCCTTCTGCTTAAAATGTGTTTTTATGTCCCTGCTGGAGGGATGTCCCATCACTTCCTGTTCTGAAAGAAGTTTGGCTTTAACTTGCTGTTTCCGCGTTTTATATAAAGTTTTGTTAAAGCCTCCAATGTCATCTCTATGTCAGGCCATTTTCTTTTTTGGAAGCTCCACTGTGCGCTCATCTTTGCAAACCCCTGTGAACAAAAAAAGTGAACCGTGAAATCACAGCACATGAAAGAAGTACACGAGGGTGCACTGGTCCTCTTCCGAAAAAGAGGGCCACGAAATCCCTGTACGCCCCGGGGTGCAAGGCTACCTGATAGGGGCAACCTAGCTGAAGCCAGGCGGATTCTGATCCTTAGGGAGAAGTACTTGGTAGGGGCTCTCCAGAATTTGTAGGGAAGGAAAAAAGATCCACCCAAACTTCAGGGCAGGCCCCCAAAAGACCTTCACCATTCGTCTCTTTGGAGTGAAAGTGCACAATGCAATGCATGCAATAAATAAATAAAAATAGTGCCAAGTGCGATACATGGGAGGCTTTGCGGCCGGTAAAAAAATTGCTCCAAGCTAGCCCTGCCTAGGAAGGGTAGTGCAAGAGAAAAGTGTAGGTGATGTGACCTTGTACCAGTGCCACACTTTGGGGTCCCAAGCCCCAAGGGGGCACATTCACCAGGAGCTTCTTGCCTTCTCAACCTCTGACCAGACCAGGTAGACCCATTCAAATCAGGAGACACTCAAGATCCCAGCGATAGGGAAGTAGTCCCGACCTCCACCTCTCCTGGGGATGCTTTGGTTTCCTTCCCATGGTCGGAACCCCAGAAAGATTGGCAAGGGTTACTATTTACAGATCTTTCAAATTTAACTGCCCTGCCTTCCAGAAGCACCGGTCAGGAACGTAGAGTTATTCTGTAAAGCTGAACTCTGGCCAAAAAATATTTTTTGATATGTGCATTGTAGGAATAAATCCACACTAATGAAGCATGTCCCATGTGTCTATGCTGCATAGTCTTTCACTCACCTCTGTACAGGGGGTGGATTAACGTCAGGAGATGGAGTGCGAGCCACCCACTGTGATCTAAGTACCTCAGCCGGAACTGTAACTCTTAGCGCTGGGCGTCCATTGCTGACTGCAGTGTACGGGGGGTGAGTGAAAGTGAGAATTGTACATATCGCTGCAGCATAGCCACATGGGGCACACTTCATCATTGCGGATTGTATTAGTGCATATAGTTTTCGGCCAGAATTCAGCATTGAAGAAAACCTTGACTTTACCCATTCGGGGGAGAGTACAGGTGAGGTAGGCAGATATAAAAGACACAAATGCAGCTCTGTATTTATTAATACATCATTAAATGTACCGGGCATGGTATCAATCTATGGCAGTTCCCTGTACTGCAGAACTGAGACTGGGAGAGGAGAAAGCAGCACAAGAAGACATTTAGTTGTGCTGTAGTGCTTATGTCTCCACAAGGAACATGCTTATAGGAGGAGAAAGCAGAGTGACAGAGAGATAAGCTCATCGGTCTGCTATCCAGTTACAGGCAAAGGGAACGGCAAGACCTGTATGTGTTACTTAGTTACTTAGACTGGATGGACAGAGATATTTATTTATTTTATTTATTACACAGGTATTTATAGAGCGCCGACAATTTATGCAGCACTTTACATAGTTGCACATTCACATCAGTCCCTACCCTCAAGGAGCTTACAATCTAAGGTCCCTATCTCACATACATACATACATAGAGTGCCAATTTAGAGAGGAGCCAATTAACCTACCAGCACGTCTTTGGAGCGTGGGAGGAAACCGGAGTACCCGGAGGAAACCCAGGTAAGCACAGGGAGAACATGCAAACTCCTCCTTTGGCAGATAAAACGGCTCTCATAGATATATTTCATCTGTCTATTGAGCTGTTTATTAGCTTCAACTTGTAAAACATTTGACTTCAGGTTCGGAATCTTCTCTTATATTACTCCTTTTTTAGTGATTTCCTAGTGATTATCTGACGTCCCTTATGATCACATTTAATACTCTACATCAGCAAGCCAAGTAATCAGAGTTTCCAGTAAATTCCTTCTGCTCCGTCACTGGTGTGGGAAGGTACCCAGGAATGGGAGCGATATTGCTGATCACTTTATATGGAGGAGCTCTTTGTGGCCAAAAGCTTATGTACTGTCACTACATTTTATGTTCCTGTCACTCATTGTAATGTGCACTCGGTACATTTTAATGTAGCAATTATTATGCTGACTTTTACAAGTCCACAATTGCTTTATTGTTCTTTTCATAGCTTGCTGGAGCCCATCGATTCTGTTTACTGTATATGAATTGTTCATTCAAAGTGTGACATCTACGTATGGGTTGGTATTCTGAGTTCAATTGTTGTAAATGTGAGTTATCTCCTTCTGAGACTTCTATGCCTGGCCTGAATGGAGCAGAGACAATCACTGCAGACAATCTTCGTCAGATAGCTGAACTCAACAAACACTTGGCATCCAGTCCTCAGATATCTTTATTGCATCAGAAGGTTTAGGCCAGCCGCTCCCAACCAGGGTTCCTTCAGAGGTTGTGACAGGGTTCCTTGGGCTGCGGCCGATTTACCACCCATTTGATGGTACCTACATAATGCCGGGACCAAGGCCAGTTGGTAGAACCAGCAGTAGCATACCGATGATCTATTTCGCTGTCTGTAAGAGTGGCATTCTCACCACCAACATATAAGGGATATTCTTCCCACTGACCACCAATGTATAAGGGACATTCTTCCCACTGACCACCACTGTACAAGGGACATTCTTCCCACTGACCACCAATGTATAAGGGACATTCTTCCCACTGACCACCACTGTATAAGGGACATTCTTCCCACTTACCTCCAATGTATAAGGGACATTCTTCCCACTGACCACCACTGTATAAGGGACATTCTTCCCACTTACCTCCAATGTATAAGGGACATTCTTCCCACTGACCACCACTGTATAAGGGACATTCTTCCCACTGACCACCACTGTACAAGGGACATTCTTCTCACTGACCACCACTGTATAAGGGACATTCTTCCCACTGATCACCAATGTATAATGGACATTCTTCCCACTGACCACCACTGTACAAGGGACATTCTTCCCACTGACCACCACTGTATAAGGGACATTCTTCCCACTGAACACCACTGTACAAGGGACATTCTTCCCACTGACCACCACTGTACAAGGGACATTCTTCCCACTGACCACCACTGTATAAGGGATATTCTTCCCACTGATCACCAATGTATAAGGGACATTCTTCCCACTGACCACCACTGTATAAGGGACATTCTTCCCACTGACCACCTCTGTATAAGGGACATTCTTCCCACTGATCACCACTGTATAAGGGACATTCTTCCCACTGACCACCACTGTATAAGGGACATTCTTCCCACTGACCACCAATATATAAGGGACATTCTTCCCACTGACCACCAATGTATAAGGGACATTCTTCCCACTGACCACCACTGTATAAGGGACATTCTTCCCACTGACCACCAATGTATAAGGGACATTCTTCCCAATGACTACCACTGCATAAGGGACATTCTTCCCAATGACTACCACTGTATAAAGGGACATTCCTCCCACTGACCACCAATGGAAGGAACAGTTTTGCAACTGACTATCAATGTAAGGAGCATTTTTCCTACTGACTACTATTGTAAGGGGCATTCTTCCGCCTGTCCCGCTATGTACTAGACTTGTGCGCCGTAAAAAAAATCTTTCCGTTTCGGAATATCCGTTATTTCGTAATTCGTGTCCGAAACTCAATTCGGATTCGTACGAAATACGAATTTCCGTTAGTTTCGTCACATTTTCGTAACTGTACGAACATTCTTTATGATGAAGTTAAAAAGCAAAAATACCTTTGTTAATATTGGAGTCGATGTGGTAGTTGTTTTTTTATCCGAAATACGAATTCCGTTAACGGATTCCAGATCCAAATTTCGTATTTCGTATAAAAAAAAAAACTACCATCAACTCCAGTATATATTAACAAATGTACTTTGCTTTTTAACTTCAATATAACTAATGTTCGTAACGGAACAAAATTCCGTCAACGGAATTTCGTATTTCCTGCCTGTGTATTGTAATGTAACCCTCAGCAGCAGCGGATCCGTATTTCGGATTTAAAAAAAAATCTTGTCATGTTGTTTATCCTCATTTACAGGGGTAATATTAGTTCCGGTTTCAAAGAAATTCGGATCCGAAATTCGTTAACGGAATTTCGTATTTCGGATATAATTCGGAAACTGCAATTCGGATTTCGGATGCTTCCGAATTTACAAATTTCATGAAAATTCGTACGAATTTCGATTCGTAACGAAACGAATCACACATGTCTACTATGTACTCTACTATCATTCTTCCCACTGACCCCCAATGTAAGGATCATTCTTCCCACTGACCCCCAATGTAAGGATCATTCTTCCCACTGACCCCCAATGTAAGGATCATTCTTCCCACTGACCCCCAATGTAAGGATCATTCTTCCCACTGACCCCCAATGTAAGGTGCAATCTTCCCACTGACCATTAATGTAAGGAGCATTCATCCCACTGACCTCAATGTAAGGTGCATTTTTCACACCGACCACCAATGTAAGGAGCATTCTTTCCACTGACCCTCCAATGTACTAATTTTAGCAGGGGTTCCCTAAACCTAAAAATTATTTCAAGGGTTCCACCGGGGTAAGAGGAAGGTTGAAAAAGGCTGAGTTAGGCAAACAATATAATGAAGTAGATGTTGGTATTTGAAGGTCAAACAATGTTATCAGCCCTTCTCCTCCGTGGACTACAGAGCACCACCCTCGGAGATGAGGAGAGTGGTAGATGTTCTGTAGGTCTGTCGTACGGTTACAACACTACCCCTACATAGATGGAATAGCGAGTGAGTGCTGTCATCCTAAGACAGGAAGTGTGTTACTGGCAGGATCACCAGGTGAAATCCAAGGAAAAAAACCTGACAACAGAGGAAATGAATGCAGCCGCCACGTTTAAGGACTGGTACCCCGTAATATATTACATTTTTGTTATTGGGTTTGAATAAACTCTTAAACTTTCCTGACAGTCACATTTATCCCTTGGGGACTATCCTGTTCCTGGGTCTGTACACCTCCTGCACCCACTATGAGGGGCTCCCACCATCCCTGCACTGATTTCCCATGTCTGTACACCTGCTGTGCCCATTATGAGAAGCTCCCACTATCCCTGCACTGAGTTCCCAGGTCTACACATCTGCTGTGCCCATTATGAGGGTCTCCCACCATCCCTGTGCTGAGTTCCTGGGTCTGTACACCTGCTGTGCCCATTATGAGGGACTCCCACCATCCCTGTGCTGAGCTCCCGGGTCTGTACACCTGCTGTGCCCATTATGAGGGGCTCCCACCATCCCTGCACTGATTTCCCAGGTCTGTACACCTGCTGTGCCAATTACTGTGCCCATTATGAGGGTCTCCCACCATCCCTGTGCTGAGTTCCTGGGTCTGTACACCTGCTGTGCCCATTATGAGGGACTCCCACCATCCCTGTGCTGAGCTCCCGGGTCTGTACACCTGCTGTGCCCATTATGAGGGGCTCCCACCATCCCTGCACTGATTTCCCAGGTCTGTACACCTGCTGTGCCCATTATGAGGGGCTCCCACCATCCCTGTGCTGAGTTCCTGGGTCTGTACACCTGCTGTGCCCATTATGAGGAGCTCCCACCATCCCTGCACTGATTTCCCAGGTCTGTACACCTGCTGTGCCCACTATGAGGGGCTCCCACTATCCCTGTTCTGAGTTCCTGGGTCTGCACACTGGCTGTGAACATTATGAGGGGTTCCCACTACCCCTGCACTGAGTTTCTGGGTCTGCACACCTGCCAAAAAATAGACCCGATTCCTCCGTCAGCGTTACGAGCGCATTGATCAAGAAATCCCGGCTGTTTCTTTTGTATTCTGACAGCGGCCGCTGGCCAGCTCATTGGCTGCCGCCTCTGTTTGTACGAAGATTTTCCAACCCGCTCCTTCAATCAGGTGATCGAGGGATGCCGGCCAAAAGGGTGCCAACAGCAGCACCCAGTGTGCGAATTTTTCAAGACCATTTTTCAACTGGCCAAAATGTGCACAGTGTAAGGCCACTTTAAGATGGTCATGTACATTTCAATGGATTTTAATAGACAAATCAAAGTTCCACTCCAGCCAACACTTCCTGTTCAATATTTGTATTAAAGAAGCATCTTTCAAGTGTAACAATCAAAATAATAGGATTGTAATGATGAAGAACAGATGTTCAGAGATCTCTTGGGTAGACTGTTCATGATTCATATGCACATACCCAGCTAACACTTTATACAAATAACAGAAGCAGATTTCTTTCTGTTTTGGGGAAAAGGCAGCAATATGTTTCCATAAGTGTGACTTTTCCTGTAAATCTGAGAGTTCTGACGGCAGTCCCGGAGATAGAGAAGCATAAGAAAGGTCAGTACGGAAGCTTGCTTACTGCCTGTTACGTAGTCTGCTTTGGTTCGGGCCAAGTACACGTCCACTTCAATGTATATGTTGCCTCTCGATGTTCTAAACCAGGGGTAGCCAAACTCTGGCCCTCCAGCTCTGGTGGAACTACAAATCCCATGAGGCATTGCAATAGAGCTGCAACAACTATTCAATTAAACCGATTAACGATTCTCATCATCGATTAGTTGCCGCTGTTCTCCTCCCCGCTGGTGCCGGCTGCAGCGGTCTGTGTCCCTTCAAATCTCCGCTGCTCTCCCCGCCTGTGTCGGCTTAGGCAGCGGGGACAAAGACCGCTGCAGCCAGCACCAGCGGGGAGGAGAGGCGCTGTGAATACATTCCCAGCGCTGCCTCCGCCGTACTTCCGCTGCTGCTCCCCCGGCCGGTTCCTCCTCTCACCCGGTCCGCTCCTACGATCCCCCCCGTGGTTAAATAAATGTTTTTGTTTTTTTATTATATTGGCTTAGTTTTACAATTCACATTATTTAAAATCCATGAACCTAATTAAAATGTCTAATATAATACATACAATTATTAAAAAGAGATATCTATATATATATAGATATCTCTTTATACAAGCATGAGAGCACCATACATTACCAACAGCAAGTAAAACAAACAAAACAACAAATTGTTAGGCTTTGTGGTCAAGCATGTACAAACATATACATACATAAGTCAACCTGTATATATCTCTTTTTAATAATTGTATGTAAATAAATAAAAGATGGGGAAACTAATTTTCAGTTTCGGCTTGACAAATTTTGCTGCAGGAAGTGTGTTGCAGTGCCATTCATTTCAATGGATCCCAAATGCACCTCCCGTCCGCAGTGTGATCGCCCGCACTGGAACGCACGGTACTGAAATGCCCTGCGTTCCAGTGTGATATCAAAAAATGTGTATACCGTTTTATTCTGAAGTAAACTTTATGTCTGTAACGCTGCATTCGTGTATTTTATTTTAAATAAATGACGGTATTAATTTGTTTTATTATATCCGATTAACCGATAAATCGAAGTTAATAATCGGCTAACGAAAATAATCGTTATCTGCAGCCCTACATTGCAAGATTCTGACAGCCACAGACATGACTCCCGGAGAGAGATGCATCATGGGATTTGTTGTTTCACCACAGCTAGAGGGCCAAAGTTTGGCTACCCCTGTCCTAAACCTTCTCCTTTTAATACGTTTTCCCTTTTTCTTGTTTAATTCAGATGCCGACCTCCAGTTTGGGACTGTGCAGTGGGGTGATAGTGGCCTCTATTACTGCCTCGTTGCTGTACCTGATGATTTGGAAGGCAAAAACGAAGACCGGGTGGAAGTCCTTGTGATGGGTGAGTAGATGATTGTAAAACGAAGTGTGTTGGTCAGACAATGGGCGATACGAGAATTGTGTCACGCCAGCACATGCTCTGTTGTCAGCATCATTGAATATACTGGTCGTGTGTACTATGGAATATAACCGTGTACTCTGTCTTGTGCTGTAGGTGTCCCTCAAAGAATGAAAAGGCCATATTTGCAGGATTTGTGGGTTTCATTTACTAATTTATCAGCGTACCATATAAAGAAAAATGGTTTCCGCAGATTTTCAGTTCATTGTCTGTACTATGTGTTTATTTATTTACTCAGAGGAGGGGGGGATCATGTGACAAAGCCATTTGTCTGCATTGAGTGCTGACTTCACAGGAGGCCTATAAAATATTCAAGATGGGCTCGTGTCTTCAGTATAATTGGAGATCTTCTCAGAGAGAAGCAATGTAGCTTATGGTCTACGTCATCGTTATAGTCTGGCTATGCACCAAATTAGGGATGTTCAGATACCAGTGCCGATACTTGCAGAGGTTGCAGCTGGTACCGGGCTCTGGCGCTCCACCACTGTCCTGAAATCATTAGTCTGTATTGTTTTTCGAAAAACTGTCACATGACAATAAACAAAAATGTATCAGTACTTGTATCTGTGAGTACTTGGACAAGTATCAGTACTTGTACTGGCAAAAATGGTATCAGTGCATCTCTTATATATAATTATAAAAAGAAAATCATACAATATTTTTCTGGTCCGTAGAACCACTTTGGACTCTTCAAGCAGTCCACTTTGGCATACATTGCACTTGTGTACTTATGATGATAACCTGAGGTTATAGATAATTGTATGATTTTTAGGTTTGCTCTGTAAGCCTATAATATGGTATTTGTCCTCCTTCTGGATGTGTGTGGTGTAATATATCAGCAATATACACCAGTAATACTTTTTGGAGATTTAAGTACTAAGACAGAGTGATATTAACTAGAGCACCACCTTTCTTGCTTTGGGTATGTGTATTTTAGTTGTTCTTTAATTTTTACACGGCATATTCACTTTAAAGTTGAGCACAAAAACTGCATGTAAATTAGGGATGCACCAAAAGTTCGGCCACCGAAACATTTCCGCTGAAAATTATACAAAATGGCAAAATGCCAATAGTACCAAAAACGGACGAATATGTGATGCATCCCTATATTCTCTCCTCCCCGCTGGATGGCGGCTCTGTGTCCCCTCCAATCCCCCCTGCTCTCCCCTGCCTGTGTTGCTGCTGGCGCCCAGCGGGGAGGAGAGAAGCGATCAGGAGGCCAAGTGGAACGGTGCCGGAAGGAGAGTGCTGCTGTGACAGATGGAGCAGCCAGGATGGAGAGCGGAGCACAAACACTCAGTGATCATTACTGATTGCTGAGTGTTTGTAAATAATTAAGGACATAGTAAGGTAAGTATGTCCCCAGTTATGAATGAACAGGAAGTGCTCTACATCACTTCCTGTTCATTCATAATTGTGGATATAGTAGCTGATATTATCTCCTCAGTTTATGAATAGACATGAGCACTCAGTAAGAGGCTTCCTGTTCATTCATAACAGGGGCTGTAGTAAAAGAGGTTTAGGACTCTGTCCTCAATCTCTTTTTCTATTTCAAAAGGGAAATATCAGGGGGTCTGTTTAGATCTGATATTTCCCTGAAGCCCTTAACAGTAAAGTTAAAAAAAATAATAATAATAATCAAATAATTAAAAAATAATGTACATTTTTTTTTTAAAGGTTGAAAAAAAAAGTAATTTTCGGTTTCAGCCTGACAAATTTGTTTAATCTCGGTTTCGGTCTAAAAATTTCCGTGCATCCCTATTATCCCATGCATCCTTATATATTCCTCAATTATCAAAAAGGATATAAATCCACTTTGTGTACACAAAGTGCTTTTTTAAAAGTAGCACAGACATCATCTCTATGCTGTTCATAGCCTGTGCAGAGAGTAGAACTGTGGGAGGAACCCAGCAGGCCCCACCCACTACAAACTGCAGGAGAGGACAGAGACAAGACCAGTCACTCTGCAAAGGAGAGAGAGCAGTAGTGACCAGTCTTTACTACAGGAGGGGGTGGAGACAAGACCGGTCACCCTGCACAAGGACAGAGAGTAGAAGTGACTGGTCTTTATTGCAGGAGCGGGTGGAGCAGAAGTGACCAGTCTTTACTACAGGAGGGGGCGGAGACAAGACCAGTCTCCATGCACAAGGAGAGAGAGCAGCAGTGACTGGTCTTTATTACAGGAAGCTCCAAGTGTCACACTGGATCACTGCAGACTGTGAGGCTTACACATCCTTTGCAGAAGACGTGTATCCAAACCTCTGTCATTGTCCTCAGTGGTGAGACATGTTGTTTTACATGCTAGTTTGTGAGTGTGCCATGATGCCTTTCTACTTTTCTACTGTTCAAAGCCCATTTCGTGTGCACCTTACTGTATAACTGGTAACAAATTGTTGAGTGCGTTTGTCGTTTGTTTTGCTTGGGAGACAAGACCAGTCTCCGTGCACAAGGAGAGAGAGCAGCAGTGACCGATAAACGTTGCTTGAGTCTTTTAATAAAAAGATTAGCAGCAGTGACCAATCTTTATTAAAGGAGGGGGCGGAGACAAGACCAGTCACCCTGCACAAGGACAGAGAGTAGAAGTGACTGGTCTTTATTACAGGAGCGGGTGGAGCAGAAGTGACCAGTCTTTACTACAGGAGGGGGCAGAGACAAGACCAGTCTCCATGCACAAGGAGAGAGAGCAGCAGTGACTGGTCTTTATTACAGGAAGCTCCAAGTGTCACACTGGATCACTGCAGACTGTGAGCTTCTCAGGTACATAATTTGTAGAATCTCTCCGATTCCTGTATTGTCATAGAATAAATGACAAAAGTTGCCTGTTTCCTCTTGTAAAAGAAAAAAAAATTGCGGACTCTGTTACAGCTTTGTTCAAGGAAGAAGTATTCTGTTGAATTTCACCCATTCATGAAAACCGTCCTATGGTTGCTGGCAGTGCCATGGTAACGGAGGTAGCAGCGGTTGCTATGCGGCCTGTAAGGCTCCGCTGTCACCCTGGTTCCAGAATAGCGATCTCTTTTGTGCCTAATTAAACTGAACGAAGCACAATTTTAGTCATTTAGGTCGGCAGGAAATGCTTCGATGTTCCACATTGGGAAGTCGGCACATTTTGGGTGAGGCAAGCTTGGTGTTGATAGTTCCTAGCATGGGGCTTTCAGTGCTGATAGCCAGTTATAAATAAAGTGGGCCCAACATAACCCGGACCGGTACCCTTGATCTAAGCATTCATTCATCTGCTTATATTTTGCTTTCCCTGGTTTCTCCCTCCTTCCTTCATCAACATGCTAATGACATTTTTATATAAAACCTTTCCGTTTTCATTATATAGCTTATTTTGGACTCAGAGATGTCATTATTGGGGCTCGCTTTTACCTTAATGTGCTAGTATGCACTGCATACTTTCATATACATGCCCCTCCACACACTTCCCTTCAAAAGGACTTTCCCCTAGTGACACAGCGTCTGCAATCTACTTCCATGCTCCGTCACTGCCTCTGACATCTTCTTTAGGTCTTTAAGCTATCTTGATTGGCTGGCCCGGGGTGACGTAACACGAGTGTATGATAGTTCATTGATTGGGCGGCCCGGGGTGACATAACCCCAGCATATGTGATTTTTTTTGATTGGCCGTCCCGGGGTGACATAACCCCAGCTTATGGAAGTTCATTGATTGGCTGTCCCGTGGTGACGTAACCCCAGTGTATGGGAGTTCATTGATTGGCCGGCCCGGGGTGACGTAACCTCAGCGTATGGGAGTTCATTGATGGACCAGCCTGGGGTGACATAACCCCAGTGTATGGGAGTTCATTGATTGGCCGGCCCGGGGTGACGTAACCTCAGCGTATGGGAGTTCATTGATTGGCCGCCCCTTGGTGACGTAACCCCAGCGTATGGGAGTTTATTGATTGGCTGGCCTGGGGTGACATAACCCCAGCCGATGGAAGTTCATTGATTGGCTGGCCCGGGGTGATGTAACCCCAGCAGATGGAAGTTCATTGATTGGCTGGCCCAGGGTGACTAACCCCAGTGCATGGGAGTTCATTGATTGGGTGGCCCAGGATGATATAACTTCAGTGCATGGGAGTTCATTGATTGGCCGGCCCGGGGTGACTAAACCCAGTGCATGGGAGTTCATTGATTGGCTGGCCCAGGATGACTAACCCCAGCGTATGGGAGTTTATTGATTGGCCGGCCCGGGATGACTAACCCCAGTGCATGGGAGTTCATTGATTGGCCAGCTTGGGGTGACATAACCCCAGCGTATGGGAGTTCATTCATCCCAGCAACCACAGCATGCTGATATTGTACACTGAGCTTCACATGTGTGGCTCAATGTGCAATCTGAATAAACATTGCCAGCATCCTGGGTTCATACCCTCAGGCACCGCACAGAGGATCACTGGCAGCCAGCTCGCCAATTTATTAGCTGATACATGACTAAAGTCATTGGGCCTGAGGACAGGTTTACACCATTTTCTGGTCCGGAAAATGGTGTGAACCTGCCCGCAGTTCCAGTGCATTCCAGACCAGACAAAATGAGACATGCAGTATTTTTCTGGTCTGGTCTGGAACGGACTGCACTGGTGTGAACAGAGGCCAGAAATAGTATAGGGATACATTAGGATGCATTTTGGGTCCGGAAACAATCTGGTCTGGTCTGCAGATGATTTGGATGTGGTGTGAATGGGCCCTTATACAGAACTGACTGACCTGCCATGAATGAAAGGGGCAACCGGGAGGTCACCTTCATCCTGGGAAAAGAGAGAAATTGCCATTGGTATGTACTATGGATGCACCGATACCATTTTTTCCACTCTGAGTACGAGTACCGATACTTTTCCTCAAGTATTCACCGATACCAATTACCGATACCTTTTTTTTTTTCTTTTTTTTTTTCTTTTTTTTTGTGTGTGCCATGTGACAGTTTTTCTACAACAATACAG